ATGGCTGTTGGCCGCGGGTGGAAATGCTTGCCAGCTGATTTACAAGACATCTTGCTCTTTGCGTATCTTTTAATTGAACCGTTGGATTTCCAAGCTGTAAAATGTGCTAGAAAGCTGATACTTCCATCTTTGAGATCTCCAAATTTGAGCTGGATCAGACGGTGAGAAGGCCTTCAATCGGGGGTGAACTTCAGACGGTTTGACTCTGAGCTGAAAATCTGGTCTTCTATTCATTTTGTTAAGCTTTTCCCTAAGTTTCCTGGAAAGAGTCTTGGAACTACAAATACTAAAAAATGTAATAAAAGTACTTGAAAGCAATAAAAATATAGAAAAAGTATTTCAAAACAATTTATAAAAGTGGTCAAAATACGGTGTTATCAACTGTGAATGTTGACGAGTTTTAAGCAAGCTTGCATCTTTTCCCTGAGAGTGGAAATCTACATGTCAGGGTTGCGAGAGATAGTTGGTTATGATCACTAAAGTGACGTACCTGACTCCAGTTCTAAAAGTTTTAGCTAGGATCTTTTAATTTACTTTTTAGCAATGTTTTGAATATTCATCCCCGGAGAGAACTTCCCAAAAAACCCCGCATCTCATTTCTATAAGTTTTCCAGCGATTTTATATAAGTTTCTAGGTCTATTTCTTCCTTCATTCCCGCCGATTTTATTCAAGCAATTTAGGTCTAGTTGTTTTCCTCATTTTTAATCGATTTTATTAGGTTTGATTATTAGGTCATTTTAATTTCAGTATTTTTCCGTTTAGATTAGTTTTAAAGACACCACCAAAAATCTTTAAAATATTGTATGGTTTCAGACTTTCTTACTTTATATTTCTTTCAAAGGTTTTTGCAGGAAAGAACCTTCTTCCCTGTGGATTTGATCTCGAAGTACTACAATCGACCAGCTGTGCACTTGCGGCTTATTGATTTCATTAGGGTAAAACTTGACACCCCGCATACACCACATCATGCGCGCGAACCGTTTAACCAAGGAAGATGGATGGTGTAATATAACAAATAGCTAGGATTAAACAGACTTATAATAGCTTATATGCAAAGTCTTAAGTTGTATTGAATCTTTAATTATATTAATAAAATATCTGTTCTCTTTCTTATTTACTGCATGAACAATTCTTGGATTCACTCCTAGGGGTGAACATCTTTATTCACCCCCTTGTTTAGTAACCAATCAAAACATGCCACTTAATTTTAAATAAAAATTAATATTATTTTAATCAAACAATTAAGGTAAGTTAAACAATTAAGGTAAGTTGACATTTTTATCATAGAAAATAAAAAAATAATATTTTTTAAATAGATAAACGATTTAGTAATTAAAATATTTTTTTATTTACTCTTTCTTATTTTAACCAATAAAAATAAGTCAAATAATTAAATTAATTAAGATACTTTATCAAAATAACACATTTTAAATTTTCTTTTCTAATGGGGGAAAACTAAACCTAAATTGGAAATAGTGAACCCAAACATAATATTAAATTTTATTTATAATTTATTTTTGATAAACATATATTTTTTACGTAATAATTTTTCTATTTTCAAAATTTTAAACCATAATCTCTAAATCCTAAACTCTAATATGTATACCCTAAACCATAATATACAAATATTCAAGAAATAAAAAAAAATAAAAACTAAATCTAAATCTCTAAACTCTAATCTGCAAACTTAAAAAATATTAGAAATAAAAACTAAACCCTAAACATGAATCTCTAAACTCTAAATTCTAATAAAAGATATATATTTTTATTGTTAGGGTTACCAAATTAGAATTTAGGGTTTAGGGATTAATGTTTAGGGTTTAATATTATGCTTGGGTTCACTATTTCTAATTTAGGGTTTAGTTTTCTCTCATTAAAAAAGAAAATTTAAAATGTACTATTTTGATTAATTACCTTAATTAAAAATTATTATGTAAAAAATATATGTTTATCAAAAATAAATTATAAATAAAATTTAATATTATGCTTGGGTTCTCTATTTCTAATTTAGGGTTTAGTTTTCCCCATTAAAAAAGAAATTTTAAAATGTGTTATTTTGATAAATATTTGACTGATTTTCATTGGTTAAAATAAGGGGAGTAAATAAAAGTATTATTTTCATGATTAAATAGTTTTTTTATTTGAATAATATTAAATTTTGAATTTGTTGTGATAAAAATGTCAACTTACCCTATGGGTGAACCCAAAAATTGTTCTTACTGCATATTGACTCTAACTTAGTGAATCCCAAAATACACATTCTTGAATACGGATTATTTAAAGGACTTGACCTTAAAAATGGACTGATGGGTTCAGAACCATATAATGCTCCGACCGGGAACAACCTCCACGGACTTAAAGTCCGGGATGGGGTGTTTCAGGTTTGAATCTTCAAGGCTTTTGTAGGAATCCGGTTAATAAGATAGGTTTAATGCCATACAGCTTCTCCTTACATATATTTCAGAATCTTCATCGCCATAAGCAAACTTATTGTCATCTCCATCAAGGTCATATTCCTTCTTTTCACAATACCGTTTTGTTGAGGTGTATAGGGTGCAGTTATATGTCTCAAGATTCTATTCTTCTCACAGAATAATTTAAATTCAGCTGAGGTAAACTCTCATGCTCTAGAGATGTGAAAGGTCTTGATAGCTACACCACTCTGTTTTCAACTATCTCCTTGAACCTTTTGAACCGATTGAATGCCTCACTCTTCTCCTCTAACAGCATGGTCCACATGTATCTCGAGAAGTTGTCAATCAAGACGAAGACATAGCGGTTATTCGCTGGTGTTGGTGGTGATATCGGTCCACACAAGTCTCCATGGACCAGCTCCAAAACTTGTGTTGCTTGGAACATAGTCTTTGTAGGAATTGTTTTCTTGTTTGCTATCCCGTTATACAAATCTCGCATATGCTCTTCTCATGTGGCACTTGTGGCATTCCTAAAACCATCTCCTTGTCGACCATGTTCTTCATGACTCCAAAATTTACATGTCCAATACGTGATTGCCAAGTCTATGTAGTATCATCACCTTCGATATGAAAATACTTAGGGTAGCTGATCTCCATTGGCATTTTGTAGAGACGGTTTGGTGACCTTATGAACCTTACAAGTAGTCTTCTGTATGGGTCTTGCAGTGAAAAAGTATCTCCTTTCATGTATACCTCGCAGCCATTCTCAGTAGCTTTCCTAATGCTCAATATGTTGTGCTTTAGGTCAGAGATGTAATAGATGTCTTTGAGTGCTCTTTTCTCTCCTGTCTTGCCCACAAAGGTGATCGTCCCTTTACCTACTATATTAACATTTGAACCATCGACAAATTTCAATTTCCCTCTGATGTACTCATTAAAAGTTGAGAATAAATCCTTGTTCCAAGTCATATGGTTGCTCGCACCATTATCTAGATACCATATACCATATACTTATTGGAATCATAGTTCTTTGGGATCACTTTTTCTTCATTCAAAAACACCACCTCATGAACATAGAGAGCTTCACCTTCCTCTGTTTCGTTCAGGTTTGGTTTTTAATTTGTCTTTCAGAACATATGACTTTGGACCTATCCTTTTCTGTTTTTGGTTTGCTTCTGAGGTTTCTCCTCCTTGGCTTTGGTTGTTCGATCTCCCTCGACCTCTTCCTTTGCCACCTTGGGATTTACCTCAGAAGCTTCCATATCCTCCTCGGTTACTTTGCTTGTTATTGCTCCACATAAGCTTTCATTGGTCTTCTCCTTGAGCTTCTTCTCCAACACGTTCTTCATATGCCTTTAACCTCCCAACTATGTCTTCAAAACTCGTTTTGTTTAAGTCTAGAACTTGTTCTAGGGAAGGTACTATATGAATGAACTTGCTTCGGGGAAGTCCCTTTAAGAACTTCTTTACTAACACTGGCTCTTTGATGGTTTGTCCTAGTGAGGCTGACTTTGATGCCAAGCCTGAGATTTTTCCTGAAAATTCGTCGATTGAATCAGTGTCGCTCATCGTCAACTTGTTAAATTCTACCATCAACGTCTGGTGTCTTGTTTTTCTCACCCGATCTGCTCCTAGATGTGGTGACATAATAGCATCCCAGACTCCTTTTGATGTGGTTTGTTCTCCTAGTTGAAGTATAAGACTTTCGGGTATAGATTGGAAAAGTAGGGCTGTTGCAACGTCATTCTTCTTAGCATCGGTTGACCCTGGTTCTATTGTTTCCAAACTTCATACACCCTTAGCATGACCTTCATCCTCAATTCCTCATAAACCAGACAGTGTAGTTGGTCGAGTCCAGCATCGGACATTGTATTGCTGACGATCCGATCTCCTTGGTCTGTGGGTTACCTGCCTCATCCCCCATGGTGTTGTATCTCAAGATCTTCGTCTTGATATCTCTTAGATTGAACCTGGCTCTGATACCAATTCAAAGTTGTAATTGCAAAGACTAAGATTATAAGAACTTCTCTTCTTATTAGATTTAGAAAACTTCTCAAAAACCAAACCTCTCACCAAGTCTTTTTGGAACATCTCTCCAAAGACTCTTATTTATATAGACTAAGCTGCTCCTTATTCTATATGTTTGTGGACTTGATGAGACTCCAAGGATTGCGGAAGACCCTTTATGAATCGGTTTTCGAATCAACTAAGGATATTACACACCAAAGATGAATCGAAAGGCCTTGAAAGATATGACACACCAACAAGAAGATTTTGATCTTACTTAGAAAAGATTTTTGATAAAAGATAAGATAGTCTCAAAAGAGAGTTTACAAGCGAATATAAAGAGAAGAACATGCGAGTCTACAAAGCATTAAAGTGTCTAGGAACTAGTTCTTTGAAAGCTGGCTAAGTTTGAATTCAAACATCCTTCACGCTCCTCTTCTTCTTCTCTTGGACTCAACTAAATGGGCTTAGATGTGAGGTGATCCAAACTATGCCTCATTAAAAACCTATCTCAAGAAAACCCATTGGGACAAAACTTGAGATAGGGAAAAAGAGTACATAGCTGGATCACAAGCCCATTAGCCTTCTCGGACTTGGATCACAACTAGTGTAGTTGTACCCATCTCTTTTCCCTTTTGTTCCATAAGCACTCCTTGCCTAAGTATATCTCCAACAGCTTCCTTGAGCTTCTTAGTCTTTGCTCGGGTCATGAGACCATTTGAAATGAGCAAAGGGTCTTCTTGTTTCATTCTTTGCTTCTTGTCTTTGCTCCTTAGCTCATTAACTCCTTGCGGCTCTTCTGCTAGTTCAAGCTCCTTGTTAATGCTATCCAAGATCATATCATCCCCCTCTTCTTGAAAAGGATTTGTCCTCAAATCTGGATCATCTGTAAAATAAGGAATCAAGTCAGCAATACTGAAAGTAGAACATATTTTGTACTTACCTTGTAGATCAAGTTGGTAGGCGTTATCATTGATCTTTCTAGTTATCTCAAAGGGACCATCAACTCTTGGAATTAGTTTAGATTTCCTTTCTGCTGGAAATCTCTCCTTTCTTAGGTGCAGCCAAGTGAGATCTCCATCCTCAAAGGTAAGCTTGCGTCGGCCTTTGTTAGCGTGCTTGACATATTGCTTTGTTTTCTCCTCTATGTTAACTCTGGCCTTCTCGTGGATCTGTTTAACAAGTTCTGCTCTTTTTTTCCATCTAGACTAGTTCTTTCACTCAAAGGAAGGGAGGTTAGATCCAAAGGCGACAAAGGATTAAAGCGATAAACAATTTCAAAAGGAGAAAACTTAGTAGCCGAATGCACTGAATGATTATATGTGAATTCTACATGAGGCAAACAGTCTTCCCATACCTTAAGATTCTTTTTGGTCAATGCTCGCAACAAGGTAGACAGTGTTCTATTCACTACTTCACTTTGTCCATCAGTTTGTGGGTGACAAGTAGTGGAAAACAATAGCTTTGTACCTAGCTTAGACCATAAAGTTATCCAAAAGTAACTTAAGAACTTGGTGTCTCGATCAGATACTATGGTTCTAGGCATGCCATGTATTCGTACAATGTCTCTAAAGAACAGACTAGCTACATGCGATGCATCATCAGTCTTGTTACATGCAATAAAATGTGCCATCTTAGAAAATCAACAACAACAAAAATCAAATTCTTTCCAGTCCTAGTTCAAGGAAATCCAAGCACGAAATCCATTGGTATATCATTCCAAGGGTGATAAGGAATATGCAAAGGCGTATATAAACCATTGGACTGAACCTTAGCTTTAGCTTGCTTACAGGTTGCACACCTTGCACAAATTCGCTCAACATCTCTCTTCATGTGAGGCCAATGAAAATGATCTTGTAATACTTTTAAGATTTTGGCTATACCAAAATGACCAATAAGTCCACCTCCATGAGCTTCCCTGACTAACAAGTCTCGAATAGAACAATTAGGGATACACAATCGATTATGAAAGAAAAGAAATCCCTCTTGTCTATGATAATAACCCAAAGCAAACTTAGCACAAGATCTATAAACTTCTTGAAAATCTGAATCAGAAGATTATAGAATTTTAAGCTGTTCAAAACCAAGTAGTTTAGCATCGAGAGTAGAGAGTAGAGTATACCTTCGAGACAATGCATCAGCAACTACATTGTCCTTATCTTTCATGTATTTGATGACATAAGGAAATGTTTCAATGAACTCAACCCACCTCGCATGTCTATTATTAAGCTTTTGCTGTCCTTTAAGATGCTTGAGGGATTCATGATCGGTATGAATAACAAACTCTTTGGGCCACAAGTAATGTTGCCATGTTTGTAAAGCCCTGACCAAAGCGTAAAGCTCTTTGTCGTAGGTTGGGTAGTTTAGGGTGGCTCCTCCAAGCTTTTCACTAAAGAAAGCAATTGACTTTTTGTCTTGCATCAGCACAGCTCTGATTCCTATACCTGAAGCATCACATTCTATTTCAAAAGTTTTAAGGAAATCAGGTAAAGATAATAGAGGTGCATTAGTAAGCCTATGCTTTAAAGCTTTGAACGCGGCTTCTTGAGCTTCTCTCCATTGAAATCCAACATCCTTTTTGATAACTTCTGTGAGAGGGGCGGCTATAGTGCTGAAATCTTGAAAAAATCTTCTATAGAATCCGGCCAGGCCATGAAAACTCCTAACTTCACCGACAGTTTTAGGGGTTGGCCAGTCTTTGATAGCCTGGATTTTCTCTTCATCCACTTTAATGCCATCTGCACTTACAACAAAACCTAAAAAGACAAGGTTACCTGTTCCAAAGGTGCATTTCTTTAGATTGGCATATAGTTTTTCCTTTCTTAGCTCATCTAGAACAACTCTTAAATGCATTACATGCTCATCTAAATTCTTGCTATAAACAAGGATATCATCGAAATAGACAACTACAAAAACCCTATGAATGCTCTAAGGACATTATTCATTAATCTCATGAATGTACTAGGTGCATTAGTTAAACCAAATGGCATAACAAGCCATTCATACAATCCATGTTTGGTTTTAAATGCAGTTTTCCATTCATCTCCTTCCTTCATCCTAATTTGATGATATTCGCTTTTAAGATCAATTTTAGAGAATATGCTAGAACCATGCAACTCATCTAACATATCATCTAATCTAGTGATAGGGTGGCGATACTTTACAGTGATATTGTTGATGGCTCTGCAATCTACGCACATTCGCCAACTCCCATCCTTCTTAGGCACAAGTAGAGCCGGTACAGCACAAGGAGTCATGCTTTCTCTTATGTGTCCTTTCTCCATTAACTCATCGACTTGTCTTTGTAATTCCTTTGTCTCGACCGGGTTAGTTCTATAAGCAGGGCGATTAGGCAATGAGGCACCATGCATGAAATCAATTTGATATTCAATGCCTCTAAAAGGAGGTAACTCTTTAGGATTATGTCCAGGGAAGACATCATTGTATTACTGTAAAAGAGTTTGAATCTTACTCGGCAAAACCGGTGTGAGGTTAGTCATATTGGCAAGAGCCTCCTTAAACACAAATAAAAGAACTGATTGATTAGAGATAAGAGTTCTGTTAACATCACCGGCTTTCAAGTAAAAGTTAGACGGTTTAGAAGGCGGTTTTGTCCTTTGCTTTAGTTGCATTTGATCCCGGTAAACCTCTTGAGGTGTCAAAGGTATAAGAGTAGTCTTCCTGCCATTAAAAACAAAGTAATACTTGTTAGTAAACCCATCATGAGTGACCTTTCGATTCGATTGCCACAGTCTGCCCAATAGTATGTGTCATGCGTCCATGGGCAGCACATCACACTGTATATCGTCTTCATATCCTTGATAACACCGGATTTTGACCATTTTTATGGATCACTTTAATATCTATTACAGGTGTTTTTACTCCATTTTCAAAGGATTTCTATGTTTTTGGATTTTAAAAGACTTTTTAGGTAATTTGGGATAAAGATGCACAAATTGGAACAAAACAACTCTTTTGGATAAATGCAGACCGTCAAAACTCTCATGGAGAGACGAGGACCTTCTCACCGTCTGATCACCCTCAAAATTGGAAAACTTATAGAAGAATCAACCAGCTTTGAAATACACTTGGTTTGGAGACATTCCAACGGTTGGATCTCAAGATTGCCCCGGAGACACTCGAAGACGGCCAGCAAGTCACGCGACCGTGGCCAGAAAGTCACGCGACTGCGGCCAGGAAGTCACGCGACCGCGGCCACCATCCCATCCACCGCGGTCAAGAGCTGCACGACCACGGCCAAGCCTCTATTTCACGCAGCCACGTTACTCCCGACCGCGGCCGGCCAACTCCGATTAAAAGCCCATATTTCTGAAGCCCAAATTCATTTCTCTGCCTCAATTCCGAAACCATAGAGACCATGGAGTATTGAAGACTATAAATACTTGTCATTTATGTAGTTTTTAGACATCACCTTCATACTTTTACAAAAACCCTTTTCCTTTAGCCGTTTTATGCGATTTTTAGAGAAGATTGTTCAACTCTGAGTTCTTCAATAGAGAAGCTTTCTTTCATCTCTTTTCTTTACTTTTTTATTGCTTTTATTAAAACTAATGATGCTGTCGACCTCAGCCATGTATGAGTAGATCCCGAGTTGGGCTTAGGGTTCCCAAAAGGGGCTCTCATAATCGATTAAGACATCTAGGTTTATAGATCTGGGATTTTAACTTTGTTCTCTGTTTATTCTCGTTCTTATTGCATGTATGCTTGATTGATCACCTCGTATCTGATCTAGATAGTTAGTGTTGCGAAATTTTTCATTAAGTATCTAACCTAGAATGAAACAGGCGATTTTTCCGTAGGAGTGGAAACCTACCTGCAGCGAAATCGTGAGTACTGACGAGCCTGTGCAGCTCTTGCGTTCTCTCCCTTCCAAGGCCAGAGTGGAAACCTACTGGTCAGGATTGCGAGAAACAGTTGGTTATGATCACGACAGTGACGTAGTCATACCGCCGTACTCTAGCTCTAGAACCCTATAATTGGATATCCGTCAATCCTAATCTATAATCCCTAGTATTGAAACCGATTATGATCCATGTAGAGTTCCCAAAAGCTCAGCCTTTTTAGCCATAGTTTACAAACCAATTGAGTTTTACTTGCTCATTTAGATCTGCATTTCATTTGCTTTAGTTTGATATTCTGCTTGTTTCATTTGCCTGTCATTTGATTTTCTATTTGTTCTTTATGATAAATTTATTTTCCTTCTTTAGTTTTAGTTTAATCCGTGACAAACAACCAACCCCTAAAACCAATCTAGAATAGACATAAAGTTAGAAACCGTAGAAGAATACCAGGCACACAAATCTCTGTGGATGCGATCCCTAAGTACTACAATTGATTAGCTGTGCACTTGTGGCTTTCATTTTTTTATTAAGGATAAAACTTGTTTCCTCACGCAGTAGACACATCAAGTTTTTGGCGCCGTTGCCGGGGATTTGTTTCGCTGCCTTTGTTATTTTTCTTGTTCTAATTTCTGTTCTAGACGTCTGATCTCTAGTTATTTCTTAAAGTTGTTGAATTATCGTTCCCTTCTTTTGTTTTTCTCTGAATTGCATGAATACTAGGCGCAGACCTGTAAAAAACATTCCAATTCTAGACGAGATAGACAGACACGAAAGAGAACTTCGAAGACTTAGACGAACGCAAGGAATGGCCGACGACGACCAGCCTGGAGATCCTGTTAACCGAACTTTAAACATGGACCAAGATGGGTCCGAACATGGTGAAAATCAAGAAAACGATCACAGAGAAGGTGATCATGTTCGACAAGATGGAGATGAGAATGAGATTCCTCCAAGAAATCCTCAAAACCAGGAGAGAGAAGAACGCAAAAACCTCGATGCACCTATCAATGCAGCCGACGGTAACAACCAGGAGATGCAGCCGAATGGGCACGTTAACCTCCCTGTTCAGCAAGCAAATCAACACCAAAGACAAGCCAGGAACCATCGCATAGCTGATTTCGATGCACCTACTCAGAATTTTCAGAACCGATCCGCAATCCAAGTACCATTCCCGAACCGGAATGAGTTTGAAGTCATGCCTCAAATCATCTCTTTGGCGAAACAAAACCAATTCCATGGAGTTCCTTCTGAACATCCAGTGGACCATATCGAGCTCTTTGAAGAAATCTGCAGCATGATGAGGACAAACCAAGTTCCAGCAGACTATTTAAAATGTAAGTTGTTCCCCTTTTCATTAGCAGATAAAGCTCACCGTTAATTGAAATCTTTGCCTGCAGGATTGATCACTAATTGGGAAGAATGCACAACTGATTTTCTGAACCACTTCTATACTAAGTCAAGGTCAAACTTGCTGAGAACCAAGATCTCAAGCTTTCAGCAAGGACCGACTGAACCTTTCTATGAAGCCTGGGAACGTTTTAAGGAGTATGAACGTGACTGCCCTCACCATGGATTTCCCGGATCAAGCCTGTTAAGCACATTTTACAAAGGTTTGCAACCAAAATACAAACTTTCGCTTGATACAGCTAGCAATGGAGATTTTGGACAAAAGAGGATAACAAAAAGAAGAGCCCTCATCGAAAATTTGGCTCAAGCCAATAGCAATGATTGTCCGGAGTACGATCGCTCGACAAGACAAACCAGAACAGACAACAAGGAGATAACCGAATTGAAGAACATGATGAGCCAGCTTTTGAAAAGCAACAATCGCCCAATTCATGCATGTGAAACCAACAATTGTGCAGAAGACGAAGGACCTTGTGATATCGATCACATTAATCCAGCCTTTCAAGAAGAAGAAGTGAACTATGTTGGAGCACATACACCATATCCAAATCATTTTAACAATGGCTTCTACAACAACTTCCGGAATGCAAACTACAACAATCTCTCTTACCGCAATCCAAATGTGGAGAACCCTCAAGATCAGCACGACCCACCGCAGCAGAGATCCTTCCAAAACAAGTTCCAAGGTGGAAATTTCGGAGGGACAGGAACTTATCAGCCGCGACAGCCATATAACTATAAAGGTACGGGTTTTAACAATCAATTTGTACAAGAGCAACGAGTCACAACGAACCAGCTAGCTTTGCAAATCAGAAGACTTGAACAGTCCATCCAACAGCTTGTTATGACAAACGAGAAAACAGCTAAAGACATGAACGTGAAAGTTGACTGCATGTACAATGACCTGAACGGGAACTTTGAAGCTTTATCTTCGCACATCAAAAAGCTAGACGTCCAAGTTGCCCAAACAGCGACTCTATGAAGAGACCAAATGGAGCTCTTCCCAGAAGAGTTGAAGATAACTCCAAGACATTTTGCAACGCCATAACCACGCCGCCCGAAGAAGAAGCCAAAACCGATGGAAAGGAGGAAGAAACCCCAATCTTTTTACCACTTAACAAGGATGTCGATGCCAAGCAGCCACCATTCAAGGTACCTCAACGTTCCCCGTTTCAAAGGTTTACAAAAGTCGACGATCCAAGACGTTTTGTTTTCCAATGTTTCATTTCAGGAATCAAGTTCACAGACTGTCTATGCGATTCCGGAGCCAATGTCAACATCATGTCAAAGACATTTTCCAAAAAATTGGGCATAAAAACCTTAAAGACATCGACGGTCAAGGTTATCTTTGGAGATTCATCTCAAAAAGATACTGAAGGGGTGATTCATGATCTGCAAGTTCTAGTAGGGGACAAGATTGTTCCAGCAGATTTCCAAGTTCTGGAAATGGATCAAGACAAAGAGAGACCACTCATATTTGGGAGACCATTTCTGGCTACTGTAGGAGCAGTAATCGATCACGAAAACCGGCATGCTGTCTTCCTCAATGTGGATTGCAGAAAGTTTTATCTGGCTGTCCTAGACGATTTTCCAAGTAAAGGAAATCAGCCAAAAGAGAAGGAAAAACAGAAGCCGAGAGCCGTTGCAAAGATCAAGATCATCATTCCACTAGATGCAACAGAGGCTAGTGAGGACCAAATTCAGGAGCTGATCGAGAACACAAAAAGGGTTTTAAACAATGTTAAAGTCCGAAAGAAGAGTAAAGGAAAGAAGATGACGCCTCAAGGAGAAGAAGTTAAACCTCCAGCGACCGGAAATGATAAAGGCACATCAAGTGGAGTGCCATTTAAATCAGCCTGATCTTTCATGCCTACGTCGAGCTAAACGACTTAAAACAAAAGCGCTTATGGGAGGCAAGCCATTTAGGTACACTTTCTTTTAGTTTTCTTTTCTTTTTTACAATTTATGTTTCCTTTTTCTTTTAAGTTTCAGGTATTTTTATAAAACAAAAGCACAAAAAATTCAGAAAATTTGAAAAACCGAAAAAGAAGGAGAGGTTTTTAACTGCTCGGTCTGGCAGAAACTTGAAGTTGGACGAAGGCCGCAGGAAGATGGGCCGCAGTCGCAACCAACCGACCCGCAGCCAACGCATCTTCGACCGCGGCACCGTGAATGTGACCGCGGCCGATGCTATCATCACCACGGTCGCGCGTGTCCTGACCGCGGCCGTTGGTCGTTGAGACGGAACTTCCGATTTCTGTTGCTTTTCAAATGTTCCTGGTGATTCCCGACGATTCCCAGAACATTTCCGGAAAAGCCCATTAAGATTTTCCGTAAGTTTTAAATCCCATGGTGCTTACAAGACAAGAAAGGTAAGTTCTCGTAAGCTTTTGAATTCCCGGAAATTTCTCGTTTTTGCTACAAAAACGTTTTTTAAAGAAAGGAAACACACTTTTTGGATCAAAACTTCTTTTTCTCTTCTCTCCCAAAAGACTTGGAGATTTAGGATATAGAACATCTTTTTCAATTCTTAAGCTTTTTAAGA